TGTCTGCAGTGTAAAACTACAATGTTTTACTGGGTCAGTTGCTTTATTGTCATCATTTATTCTTACAGAAAAGATGGGGCCTCTAAGGAATGAGCAAGGAGTCAGAAGTTCATTGCGGAAGCTGAATGTGGAAATGTATGAGTCATCCTTCAATCTTATTTCCAGTTCCAGCAGTGCAGTGCAAGGTTATGCATGAGAATCGTGCAGTGCTGAACCTACACTCAGACATTCTCAAACAAGCCACAAATGTAGCCCTATCTAGCCTGTCCTTCACTGCACCCTGAGTGCTATTGACTGCTAATATGCAGCACGCTTGAAGATTTCCCAAGGCAAAGTATTAAATGCCGAAATGAAACAACCTAGAAAATGCTAACCAGAAGCAGCAGAACAAAACTGACTGGCTGCATAGCTCAGAACAGCAGTAAAAAAAAAAAGGCTGTGAAAGTCCCCCCCTGGAATCTCTGAATGTGCCACTTTACCAGATGAAAGATTGAAATATAACTCAGCTATTGCCACATACCACATCAGCTGTGACTTCATTTCTATTTCTCTGTCTTGCAGGGAAGCCCTGCCTCTATTCGCAGGAGTAGTGGCATCAAGTGGGATCAATGCTAGTGGTCCCAGTAATGTCAAGGGCTGGATTTTACCCTAAATGACAAAAAGAAGACGTGATACCTCGGGTGGGAGGAAGATAAAAAGAGAGTTTGAATAGCCATATTGCTGGCTCAGTGCTTGCGTGCAAAGTGCAATAGGGATGCCCTTCCACCAGGATAGGTACCTATCAAAGGAGAACTGTTTCTTAGAAAGACAAATTCCACTGTCCCAGTTTAAGTGTAAACACTGTTTAGATGCAGCAGTATGTGGGTGTCTTTGCTCCTTTCGGCATTCTCACTCAGTCTGAGTGAGACAGAGTCTCATTATCATTTATGCAGCATGAGCCATAATTTGGATTGATGTGACTGCTGTTTAATGCAAAGCATTCGTTTCCCCTTGTACAATAAAAGCGCTTTACTTCATTTTGTTCATCAATGTGTCATGCAATTAATTCAGCCCCACTTATTATATCCTAGGCTTGCATGTCATGGGCTCAAGGGACTTAGAAATGTCTTAATGATCTCATGGATATGAAAACAATGAAAGCTATGATAGACATTATGCATTTGCACATCTCTCACACCTATCTGATCTGGGGCTTGGTTGTTTTTTATCTCTGCTTCGCTTTGCTTGTACCTTGTAAATTGCCTCTCTGTGTAACCTGCTGTCTCTGTTCCCTTCCCTAGGCTTGATAACTCAAAGCAACATAAACATGGTGAGAAAGATAAGCAGCAAGTTAAAGAAGACCTGCAGGGAGAAGGAGACCCAGGAGACTAGAAACAGGATACGGAGATTTTCCTCAGTAGAAGACTGGTCCAGGTGAGTTCAGCTCACTGCAACTAATATCCAGCAATTAGCAGCTTTATGTAAAATATATTGGTAGTATGTTTTGTGCAGACTGAGTAAAAACCTAATACACAGCTGGCTCCCTTCCTGACAGCATAAGGCTAATAAGGCAGAAGTGCTTTCCTTTGCATTTTCAGGATGCTGTACTCTTGGTCGGTAAGGTGATAGCAATTCTGTGGGGAAGTAGAGGAGCTAATACAATTGCTCCTGCTGTCCTTATCTGGCCCATCAGGATGGAGACAAGCTCATCCCTCATAGTTCTGCCCTTCTCGTCCCTCACTTGGCGTCTAGTCTGAAGGTAACTAAAGGCTGCAGCTGACACCCGTGTCTTTGAGTTGTGCCCCTGGCTGGGGAGCTGAGAGCAATGAAGGCATCAGTTTGGCACAAATGCATATATTATCAATAGAGCCTTTCTGAATAAGCAGTGAGGAAGGGCATATAGAAGTTGTCCTGGCTCTACAAACTCTCTTTTAAATCCCAATGGGAAATCAGCAAGCAGAAACGTTATTTGGATTGGAGGGGAACCTGAAGGCATTTTGTAATGCTGGTGGGGAGCCTCCTCCTGCAACTGCAGTGCAAAACTGTCTATGGCAAGATGATTTGGGGAGTGGAGAGGGTTACACTAATGTGGTATCTTGACAAGTGCACTTGAAAGTCCTTTCCAATCTCAGCAAGGAAGAGCTGCTCCTCTGTTTTTCTAAAATCTAACTAGAGCTTTGAGATATAATTGAGGGACTACTCTTCAAGATTCACTGGCACTCTAGGAAATGAAGTGACATACCAGAAATGGGTTTATGGGGTACATACGATCACTCAGAACATTCCAAGAAAACAGCAGCCCTCATTTTTTTCTGATAAAAAAATATGAAAGCAATGCTTTTTCCAGGCTTGATGTAGCAGAGAGTGACTGGCATGGACTTGAACAATTTAGTATAGCATGGGTTTGAAATTGAAGCACTTTCACATACTGTGGATTGACAACAGGGTAATTACTGGGGGGATGGGGGGAGGGAGGAGAGAGGGTTTCAATAAAACACCCCCAAGCTAAAATGAATGCAGACTATTAGAGACCTGAGACAGAATGATTCCCAAGTGTTTTAATTTGTGCTTCCACTCCTCGTCTCCCTTACAGTCATCATTTTGGCAACTGCCAGCAACATCCCCGAGATTCAACAGCATTTGCGGAGCAGGCAGCTGCTGAGATGATTATGTCAAATCAGCACGCTGTCCTCTCTTTTCCATGTCTAATGATTCTCACCCTTGGAGAAGTGGTTTAAAATGATGCATACCCCTTGGATTCATTGTGAAGCTGCTAACAGCAGTAGCGGTAGAGCAGGAGTTTGGGTGGGACTCTGTCACTCACCTTTGTTGCTTGCATGCCCTGCAATTAACTTTAAAAATTACTCCACAGAGCCCTGCTATGGCTGGTTTGGGCCTGATCCAAAGTGTTTTCAGGACAATAGAAAATCTTGCAAGAGCTCTGGCTTAAGCTCTCTGGGGGCAGCAGAGAAGCTGAGCTTGTGTGAATTCTTAATTTGAGTTTCTCAAACAATCAGTTGAGAAGATCATATAAATCAAGACTTGCTTGACATTTGTCTCCCTTTCTCTTGTTCAGACCTAATGCCCCCAAAGGCAGAACTGTCACTGACTGCACTGCGACTGGGAGATACTGGGAAGGAAGGGGAAAGTTGCTAAATGTAACCCAGTGGTACTATTGCCCTGCAGCTGCTCCCATGCCCTTGAGACAGCACAGAGCGGCACTAAAAATCTTTGCTACAGTCAGAAGTGGATTTGACTTGTTGTACAAATGTTCCCCGGGGATTTTATATCACAGGCTGGTCTTGCATTCCACACCTTAGCATGTTATTTACTCAAGAGCTTTCCTTTGCACTGGAATTGTGAAGTCAGGCTGATACATATATTGGGTTGTCTGATGCATTTCACACTGCTGTGGCTGTGCAGCCTGTGCCTGTGCCGCCGCTCAGCCTTTCTGTGCAACATCACAGTTTGATTCAGAAAGAATGAGTCTCGGTCATGGGCTCTCTTTCTGAAACTCCAGTGTGAGCAATAACTCCAATAATCCTGTGACTTGATTTATAATAATTAATCAATTTTCACTGACCTTAGACATTTGACTAATCCCACCAATTAAGAATAATCTGTCCTTTATATTCAGAGTTAATAGTAGACCGAAAGCTGAAAAAGCAAGAGCTGAAGAAGCAGGTCTGCTTTTGGAGTCTAAAAGCTCTGGCTTCAAATTCAGACTTGCTGTTTAAGCCTGCTTGTATTTCACATGATTTGCAAAACAGCCTTGTCCAAAATACTGCCCAGGATCCTACAAGGATTCTGTATGTAGTGTATGGGGCAATGAATATCTTCTTTATCACCAAGGATAAAGACACCTGCAAAATTTCCTGCTTTCTTTCAATTGCACTGTTCCAACACAGATCTCGGCTCCTGTATTGGAAAGCAGTGTGGTATCAAAACCTGGCTTTGATAATGGCTATATGCATGTGGTTCTCATCGGTGTCACACAGATCAGGGTTTGAGAGCTCTGCAATTGACTGTGATCAATTAAGGGCTTTTTCCCTTTATGCTTCCACCGACAATAGCACTGGCAGCACCACCCACTATTCTGCATCTAGGCTGAGGGAGGGGCTGCATTTGTCTCTCTGGGTTAACAAATTGCATCCCTGCTGCCGTAGCACAGAGCTGGCGCCAAACCACCTTTCTTTACTCCTGCCTTTTGGGCTAAGACTGTAATGCTGTAAGCAGAAATCTAAATAACTACATCCAACTGAGTGGTAGGTTTTGCCTAAAAGCTCCTTTACAAATTCCTCCTTTAGCGTACCTCCTAGCAGCGCAGGTGCATGTGGGTCAGAACTAATATTGAATTTATAGCATATCTCTGTAGTCATGACTGGGCACTCATCATATTAGAGGTGGAAACTATTATGCTAGCAGCATTTGAGTGAATTCACAATGCAGAGTGACACTACAACAGAAACAGGAGTGCAAAATGGAGATTTGCCTACCTAAATGAAACACAAGGGTGTTTAGGGGAGCAGCGTAAAGAGGATTCTGACCACAGCACAGGGATTAATATTCTATTCCTACAAGAAGTGCTGTACATCTTCAGGTTCTTGAATTTAACATTTAAAAGGCTTCAGAGCTGTCTCCCACCAGAAGCCAGGGTACTGGGACGTTAGCAGTAGAAAAGAACATCTTTACCAACTAACACTGCTCCTGGTTAACACAGGTAGCCTGTGGTGCTCCAACATATCACATAGTCAGTAACTAATAGTAATATAGAGAAGTTTTAAACATCTGGATGGCCACACCAGGCAGAAACTGAGTGTTAACTGCAATTTGAGTGAGGATACGGGGAAGCTTGGATCCCCAGTTTGGGTAGAGAAATTTTTCTACCAAGTGGCACAATTGCTTTGTGTGATTACCTGAAGTCATCAGTGCTACCTGCTGGCCAGCTCCCTTATAGGCCTTTCTGGCTCCTGCCACATCCTTAGGTGCAGTCAAAGAAGCAGAAGAGTTGCACAAAGGATATCTATCATATCTTTATTTACATATCATGGAAACACACATGCAACATGTCACAGGATTTACTACAACGGAACAGCCTGTCCCTATCTCCTGTTACCAAAAACTTTATTTTTGGCTCACTAGGAAAACTATCACTTCCCCAGAAAGCTCCTAAAAATAATCATTAAAAATAACAGACTTGGCAGGATAACTAAATGAGTGAGAGCTGCAGGCTGGGATGTCTTGCCACATCCTTGCAGAAACCAGGTGGTTCTCTGGAAGCAAGGAAGGAGTGGGACTGGATGGTCCCAAAGAAGACAGGTAGGAAGTGGTAGTGTGTGTAACAGCTAGGGAATATCTGTCTATAGCAGCAAACAAGGGAGAGAGTGAGAGCTGTGTCAGAGGGTCCCCTCTCACCTAGGCAGCCAGCTTCCTGCTGGTCCATTTCCCATCTTTGATTCCGCCTGGAGGCTACAAGCTTCCTATCCTCTAGGAACCTCTGATCCTTAAGGAGGATCTACCTTTCTTCTCAAACAATAGCTAAAGGGTAAAGTTTAAGCTCATATCCCCTTTGGCTTGAAGGATCTTTCATCTCTTGCCTCTGTTGAGAGGAGGAGATGAAACTGCAGAGCCTTTTCCTGTCAGGACCATCAGAACGGTAGTCATGATCATCTCTTACTAACCAGGAGAGGGGATCCAGCTCAATGGCAGGAATGTGCTGAGGGAAAGGAGGGGGAATGCAGTCCTGGTATGGAAAAGGCTTAGGCCACTCTATTTATAAGTAACATGAGCTTCAGTCTTGTTGGAACCTTGGCATGTTCAGAGCCTGCAGCTTCAGTCATTTGCTTGACTTTTTCATCTAATTCCCATTGCTAGGTATAAACAGCTTGACCCCAGCTCCTGACCATCCAGGCAGGAGTCCCACCCTCCTAAACATTAATGAATGATCCCTGCTCTCCGTTGGCCGATTCGGGCTCCACGCAGCGCCCTTTCCTCCGGGTCACTCTTCGGTTCCGGTGGAATTTGGCATAACAGCGTAGCCCTATGGAAAAGACACGCATAAGTGAGCAAGAGGGACCAGGGCTTACTACAGCAGTAACATCAAACAATTAGTTCTCGGCCTCAGTTCATGACAGAGCCTGTTGCAGTGGGGACAGTCCCGGGACTGGGAAGCCTAGGCTGCGTCAAATGAGGTGGCAGAGAAATGCCTCACATGGGCAGGGCGTATTGCTTTCTGGGCCCTGCTATTCTGTTTGGCTCACTGTTCTAGTTTGGGATTCATTGGCTCAGGCAGAAGGTTTCACTGGCTTCTTGAAATACCAATGAATTATCTTGATTGTTTGCAGTGATTTTATGGAAGCCCTGCTTGGTTTCCTCCTATTACTTCCCATTACTGTCTAAGTGATCTCTCCATTGGGAAATTACTGTAGACTTAATGTGCAGCAGCAATGGCTAGGGAGCTCCCCTTGCTATTTATTTCCCTGAAGCTTCAGGAGAGGAGGGAAGAGACTTTGAAGCGTTATTACTGGGAGGTCTTATCCAAAGCTCACTGCTGATCTCCTTCAGTTTCTCTCTTTTCGATGCTCGAAGTGCAGGGTCTGAAGGAAGCTATCTGATACAGCATTGATTAATATTAAGGGGGGGGGGAAAGGCATTTTATTTGTCAAAAACATCAGTACATATTCTCCCATGGAAGTGGAAGGCAGTGGGAGCCTCTGGTCAGGGTAACTCATCAGTTTCTGGCACTGATAGATTCATCTTTTGGTGTCTATTGTCTGACTTTGTTACACCAGAACGTGTAGCTTGATGGGCCAGACAGGGTACAGCCTACATGTAAACAATTCTCATGAAAGCCCTGATTTTCAGTAGCCCAGGATCTGGTCACTGGGGTTAGGAGGAGCTGATTTGATCATCCTAGAAACTGCAACTCTTTTTACTTCCAGAGCAGGCAGCACATAGCAACAGTGCCAGCACCCCCAGAGTGGGGAAGGCTGAGGATTTATAGCTTTTATAATGAGACAGCCCATAAACTGTCTTGGAGTACTTGTACACGGGAGACGCAGCTGATGTCACAGGTCACTGAGCAGCCCTTTGGAGTGCATGTCCCTGGGCTATGTTGAGACCAGCTACCTTCAAGTTGGGTTTGTGCTCCTCATTACCAATCCCCCCAGGACATTCTGGCCTCCCAGAAGGAGAGCACACAAGATCAGAGCTCTGCTCTTATCTAAGCATCTTGTCTATCTATCTGGATCCCACATCTCTGGGGATCTTTTTAATGCTACAGAGGATGCACATTTGGCATCAGCTTATAACCAGCTTAAGTATAAAGCAGGGCCAGGGGCAGCCCTCAGTTAGGCTTGCAGAAACACTTTTCTAGGCTTATGTATCAGAACATCATCTCTGATGAGGACCTTTAAGTGTTACAGGACACACCCAAGGTGAAGACTATCATTTAACATTGCAACTCCAGGAAAGCAGTCTGTTTAACTGGGTAAAAAGTAGGTGAATGACCTGGTCAAAGTCACTAGGTACCTAACACAGGTCACAAAATTTGGCAACCAGAGTTTTGTTCTGGCAGACAAGACCCAGTGCCCGGAGCTGAGCCTGGACATGTTCAGACTGGAAGAGTGCCTTTCAACATCTTCATAACACAACTGTCTATTAAGGGCTGCTGTGGATTCTTCAGAAATAGTTTTAAGAAACAAAAGTCTGTGTCCTGCCCACACCTACTAAATTGCAACAGGTTCAGTTGAAATTAACTCAGGAAAGCCATATTAGGCATAAGGTCATGTAAAACCAGGACAATAGTCTGTTTTTATAACCTGTGATATTTGAAAGCACCATTGAAGTGTTAATATATTGTGGCTTCTTCTGTTAGGTTTGTAGATATCAGGATTTTTGTTTTCAAGAGGGAAAACAAGATATCCTAGATGACTCAATGGTCACACTGTGAGTCAGTGGCAGGGAAAGGCTAAGAGTAGCAGAGCTTGGCTCCTATTTTCACATGGAAACCTTTCCATGTGAACGCAGTCACATTCCAAGTCAACGCAGCCAACTATGAAGCCAGCTGGAAGGGAGAGAGCAAAGAGCTGAACTCACCTTCAGTGCACATACAGTCATCATAACATTTGTTGTTAAGGCCTCGATTGTGTGGTTTGCAGAGGTGTTCACGCAAGTCGCAGCAAGAGCCTGCAACACAGGAACAAGGGTCAGCACAGCTCATTTATCCCCTTCCCTTGTAGGGCTACTGACACCCATGACAGCTCCATGGTACAGACATCATCTGTTCCCACAACACACCTGGAGAGCCTCTGCCCATCCCTCTGCATACCACTTTCTATCAGTATTAAAAATCAGGATACTTGTATTAAAACCTGGGCTGGATTTCAATCAATCTCATGTTTGGAGAAATGACTCTACCAAGCTGATCCTGACCTGGGAGGCAGTCAAGGTGATGATCACATGGCTCTCCTTCAGCCGTCACAGTTTCATTTCCACTGTTGGGGCTCTTACTGCGGCGTTTCTCTATGGAAAAAAACAGATGCTGATACAAAACTTCATGCTAGTGTTTTTGTTTTGGAGACTGTATTGTTCCAGGGTAAAAACAGCCTCAGACTTCAAAAGTTTGAACTCTTAAACCTTCACAGTCCAATCTCCTCCCTATTTCTCAACCCTCCATCTATCATTTTTCCTCTGTCCTCAAACTATGCATCCAAAATGAGAAACATTCTGAAACTGAGCACAAAACACAACCCGCATTATGCTTTTTCTCTCTTTCCCCACCACTACGATCTCACATCCTTCAGCACATCTGTGAACACTAACCATGGGACAAGCCTTACAGAATGACTTTTGGGAAAGAGGACAGGGAGGTTTAGCACCTTTCTTTTTAGCAGATGGCCACATTTCTGGTTTGAGATCCTCATAATCTGTCCAGTCAAAGAGTGCCATATCTAGGGTGGGCATCACATCCCCATCTTGCCTGAGGCGGGCCTGCAAACCACAAGAAATCAAAGAGACAATGGATTACACTTCTGTAGCGACAATGAAGTCTTTGCAAATTTTCCTGGTTCTTTTAGACCTTAAAAAGGCTTTATGATTTTCTCCCCCCGCCCTCCACCCCTGCCTTGTCCACTGGGGATTCTTGGCATCTCATTTTCAGAAGGGAAGAGCTTTCCCTTGTTGCAGCTGAAGCCAATAGGGAAGTTTCCACTGCTTCTACGTAAGGACAAAAGGTGAGCAAGGAGCATTAGGAATTGCTCCCGCTCCAGCCAAGTGCTCCTGCTGCCTCTCTGGTCCTGGAAGCTGAATGAAGATAGCTAGCTAAGGGAGAGGTAGGGCAGGGAAGAGAAGCAGCTAAAGGAACTGTTTATGAAGAGGTGTTTAGATGTCTCCAAGACAGAGAGCTGCTTTTAAGGGAGGGCTTTGGTGTTAAGCAAGCACTTACCTCTAACTGAAAAAAAAAAGGAAACTGGACCTTAGCTGCAGGAGATTTCTGTCTGCATCAGAGGTGCAGTGCAGTTACCAGCTATCTCTTTACCTGTGACCGTGGTGATGTGGCTGGAAGAACAGGAGGCTCTTCTGTGGAAACAGCTAGTTCCAGTGCAGTGAAGAGAAGCATGGTGGGAGTCAGACTTGTAGCTTCCTCTGCCTGGAGGTTTTGAAACTGTTCTTCAAAGCTTTCAGGTTTCTTGTACAGGGAGCTTGGCCCAGCATCAGGAATCTTCCCTGCAGAGGGCAACAGGTACAGTAGCATTGGCTTTCTCATCCCTTTTCTCTCCATAGACTTGAGTCAAAGGAATTCAGATTTCATCCAGCCACTGGCCAGTGTTCTACCACCCTGAGCTGCTGTTTAGACCAGTGTAAAACAAAGTCATGTGCTATTAAAGTGATACATCAGGTCCAGAGTACGTGCATCTTGGGTTTTATACACTTAAGTCATACCTAATCACACCTTCTTGAAGATATGTCTATCTCTTGCTTAAGAAGCAAAGGATTTCTTTTTCTGGTCTAAAGAGTCCAAAATGTACCTGTTTAAGCATTTTTAAACCGATGGATTAAGCTGCTGCAAATACCTGTGGATGCATTCTTATTTGATTTTAATAGTGGGTTATTTCAATTTAGCTCAAGTCAGGACCTACCTAACTTGAAATAAGAGTATCTTCACAGCCTGATTCCTGCTTTTCCTAAGTATTAATTTAAATATAGACCTTAAGTTAAACCAAAGAAACAAGGCCTGTTTTGTAGTCTGCAAATACTGCTTCAAACCAGCTTTGTTGCATACTCTTCTATATTGCTTGACATGAGTTGTTTACTCAGTCCCCTGAGAAAACAATAGAGCTCTTCTTGCTGATGCAGGGAGGAGTGATAGCTGGAACTCAGGGATACTGACACCCAGCTTGTCAGTGTAGATTGACACAAATTGCCTGGCTTTAAGAGAACTAAAGATTTACCACAGTGAGCACATCAAACCACAGAGACACATACCCACAACTTGACCTACAAAGGAAAGTATTCCCAGTCAAAACCAAGCAACATTTTAAAGTAATTAGTGCAATTTCACACATGCAAAATTTATGGTTTTTGTAGTTCGGCATAAATATAGAAGAATACAAGCTCTGATGAGAAGAAACTGATCTTCAAGCTAAGTAGGGGTTTTGTATTATTTCTAGTTATCTTTCGAAGTCAGTGGAGAGATTGAGCATGGCTTGGACATGTTTGTTCATAAATTGAACCATTTGCTAAAAAAGAAAAAAACAAAGCAGGCCACCCCAAAACAACCCCTCAAGTCCTAGGAACTTTCAGAGCTCCTCCTGTAAGGCAAACCAGGTCATTTTCACCAAATTGCATCCAGCAGTAAAAACCTCTGGTTCTGGAGTTCCCCTTTTTTCTTGTGCCTCTTTTGTTTGGCAGATTTCTCCCCAGAGCAAGCACACATCCCACACCCTCCACATACCCATGTGGCTCAACCACAGCTGCATCTTCTTGCCCTCACACAAGTGACACTCATTTCCACTGACCCAACAGCCTCAGCTTCCCTTGGAGCTCAAATACCTCTGTGGTGTTTCAGCCTGTCCCTGCGGCTGTGTCGCCGATGCTCTCGGTTCTGTTTCTTTCCTCTCTCAGACCCAGGAGACTGGTTCTCCCTCTCAGGATATGGGAACTCAAAACCCAGGAACACATCCTTATTCTGTTTCAGGGCTGCTGGCTGTCCCTCTGCTGCCAGCTCTTCCACAGCTGGAGCTCTGCTACCCATTCTGAGGGCCTCTTCCCCAGCTGGCCGCCCTCTAGAAGGCATGGCATGGACCTTCTTGGCCAAGCCATGCTTGTGGTGGTGCCCACCTCTGGGCTGCTGCAGCCACATCTCTTGATTTTGAAGATGATTGTTGTTCTCTGGGACATTTTTGAGCTTTGTGGCAGGGTCCAGGGAGACTGCAAGACTGATGTCAGAAAGAACCAGCACGCACAGGAAAAGGAAGGGAGACAAGAAGGTGGAAGAAATTGCCATAATCCTGGGTGCTCTGCCTCACCTGCAATTAAAAGAAAAAATAAGCAACAAACTTTTAGGAACTGTAAAGGCAAGCAAGATTCAGACCTAGGACACTTAGATGAAAACAGTTATGGTGTCCTGTGCTGGAAGTGATTTTTTCTCCTCCTTGGTTACCTCGTCTTCTCCCAGCCCTGGTTACAGCAGCTGAGACACACGTGCAGGGCCTGCAGGGCTGAGAGGTCCCAGTTTCATGTGCAAATGAGGGCCATCAATCAGTAGGACATTTCCCTTTGATTCCTGACTAGCCCCCCTACCCTCTCATTCACAGCTTACCATCTGAGGGGCTGGGGAGGCTGGCTCCTGCAGGCCACAGCTCCCGAGCCGCCTGCACAGCACCAGCTGTCTGGCTAGGGCTGTTTGCTGCCAGGTTGGCATCCTGGGCCTGGTTGGCAATGGCCCCTCCTCACAGCTGGTTTCCTTGCAATGAAGATGTCAAGATGAACAGAACTGGAGGCAGATGGTGGCCTCACAGGACCAGCAACAGCCCTGAGTAGCTCAAGACAGAGAGACATGCACACAAATGCTGCTTCAGGGTGGCTGAAAATGGTCAAGGGAAGAAAAAACACTGGAAATCTTTTGCTGATACAGCATAGCAGAGAAACAAATCTGCTGTCAGCAGAGCAGGGGATGCTGGTCTAAAGACCAAGGGGCAGGAAGGCAGACTGTTTTCTCTAGCTTGTCCCATTTTCCCTCCTTGACCCTGCATAGGTTGCTTCACCTCACCCCACCAGGTGAGGCTGTCACTGGGAGGGTAATTCAAGTCCAAAAAACACTGAGACCAAGTCCCTCAGCACAGTGGCTGCAGAGTATTCTCATTCATTCTGCTTCACTGTAATATTTTTGAGGGTCTTCCTTCATCCCTGTGTTTTTTGTGTTATGAGACATGGCTTTGGGGCATTGCATAAGTCAGACACTTCTCCAGTTAGGTCATTTTCCCCTGTCCTTTCCCACAAAAGGGGGAAAGGGGTTTTCAGCATTTCCAGTGCAACCTTTCACTTTGGGGTAGCTTTCTCAGACTGTCCCTCTCAAGCTGGGCAGCATGAAGGCATGCTTAAAGCCAGAGTTCCCTGTGACACTGACTGTCAGAAAACCAGGCCTATTTGTGAAATACTGTCACAAAGTTACAGCCACAGCTCTTCACTCAACCTCCTCCCCATCTTTCCTGCACCCCAGCCCCCAGTTGCATCTGATTTCCATCTGTCCATTCATCAGGTGAACCACTTTGCTGCATAATTACAATGGCTTGTACTCCCTCCTCCAGATGCTTTGCTGCTTGACCAGCCATTGTCACCTGCGAAGGGCAACAGGTAACATCCATTGAGGCCAATCTCAGTGCCTTTTTGTGGAGCTGACAGGAGACACCCTAAGAATGGCCTTGGTTCCTCCTTTCCCCTTTTCTTTCAACCTATGAGACAGATATGAAATGTTTTGAGTCAGTGAAACCTCTGCCATCATAGCAGCCCCAGCCTCATGAAGCATCTGGGGAGTTTAGAGGGAGATGTCTTCATCCTCTTAACTGAAAAGCCTGCTCACTCATTCACCAGCTGATTCTACCTTTCCAAGATTCATCTCTCTTATTGCTCAGAGCCCGGGAGCAAATTTTCAGTTCAGACCTCCCCTGGAAAGAGGTAGGCAGCACAGGGGCCTTCTCTTTAATGCAGTGTCTGAAAAGCCGGTCTTTCTACTGGCCACAAAGGACAACAAACTGCTACTTGAGGACTGATTTAGGAGGTGCTGCGTAGTTCATTTGCTGAAGGCATAACACTATGAAATAGTATTTTATTGGCAGCTACCTGAGACAAATGAAAACCAGACAAACAGCTAAATCTATTAACAAAGCACTTGAAGTCCTGCTTCAAAACCAATGGAACAAATAACAACCAAGCAAAACCCAAGCTCTACATCCACAGTCTTTGTTTTTTCCTAGGATTTTCTCTTTAAGAACCAGAGCAAATCAGCTGGATCAAGGCACCACTCAGAACAACTCAAAGAGCTGGAAACAGCATCTTACCTTTTCATCTGTAGGCAAAATGCCAAGAGGAGAGAACAAGTGCAAAGAGAATGCGAGGCAGGTGTCTCCAGTCTCACTCACACAGACATGGGCCCTTTGATGGTGAACCCGACAGCCACCTTAGCTGCAGAGTCTGGCCTACAGCAGGAGCTACAACGCAGCTAAATGCTGCAGGGCAGTTAAACAGCAGGTCTGCTTCAAAGTGTAGGAGGCATTTTTTAAGCTGCCCGGCTGTCTTGTTGGCATGACACAGGATGAAAGTGCAGCTAGAGCACATGGGTTGCCTCACCTCTGCACTGGCTGAGAGAGCAGGCTAACATGCTGTGTTACTGTGTCACTGGGAATCTTGCTCTGATAATGCAGATAAATACCTGCACTGCACTGTTATCAGGGGAGGTCTGAGCTGTGTGCCAAACCAAAACAGTGCATGGACAAGTTTTGGTACCTTGGGTTAATGCAACACTGCTGTGCTAGAGGCACAGAAGTCCCAGCCTTCTCTTAACCACTTGTTTCCATGCCCTGATCTATCTTTAACTTCCGAAACCTCTTCCTACCTTCTCCATTTTTCTTACCCTACAGAAGCTGTAAAATTCAGACTTCCAAAAGGCAGCTAGAAAACACAACGGCATCCCTAGTTCTCATCAGTGCTCAGATTCCTCAATATCTAAGCACCAAAGTAAACTCCACCCTCTCCTCTGTTAGGAGCACAGCCCACAAAAGAAGTCTGTGCTAGCCCTGGGCTTGTTGATGTAGGTGACAGCAATGTTCTCACACTGCTGATGCACCTTTTCTGCCCTGAAACATATGCCAGGCAGAAAGAAGTCTGATCTTATAAGGAGATGCCTCTCCTAAATTGCTCTAAAACAAATACACATTACAAGTCCAGAACTCATCTTCTTCTTAGGGTTTGTATATTAATAAAGGAAGTAGCTAAAGTACTTGCCAAGTTAAGCTGCTCCTGTAGTTCTTCACAACACCAGACCTACATCCTCCTTACTCCACCCACTGCCTTGCACTTCCTTTATATACCTCAGGATTACGAGCCACCTGCCTCTTGAGGTAGCAAATCTGCCTACTAACAAGAAAATGTGTAAAGCAAAGATAAGGCCTTAGAGCTACCCAGGGTGCAGGCTCAGGGCTGATGAATGAGTTGCAGTGCTGTCTCTCAGCCACTACTTCTGATCCATTTTGGGTTATTAGTGGATGGTCACAACCCTGTAAGGGAAATTTTTTTGCATCTTGAGTAAGGTTTTTTTTGCATCTTGAGTAACTTTCCCTGTGGGCAGTCTCTGTCTCTGGACTCACCGATACCATTGCTATTACTCTGCTCTCTGCTTGTAATCCTGCAAGGCAGCCATGGGCTGAGTAGGTACACAGAAACTCAGGCGTGTTTTCTCCCTATAAATACAGTTATGTCACCCTGGTGGGGAAATAGGCTCTGAAACTCGCCCTGCTCTATCTGTTTTGTATTTGACAAACCAGGAATATCAGATCATCTACGTTCATTCGCATAGCTGACTTAAAACATGATACATGACAGTCCTAGCTTTAACTTTTCACATATGTTCTTCATGTCACAGCCAAGAGGAAAAAAAATCTTGAACCGAAAAATAGAGAATATCAAGATCCTTTATCACCCCAGACCACAAATGATGCAGTTTGTATGCTCAAGGGCTGAACTAAGATAGACCCAAGCACGTACTCTGGGCCAGATTTCTCTTTGGCTCTGATAAGCTCAGACTTTGGCAGGGATGCGTAAAGATTTCCTGGACTCCAGACAATCCCAAGCTGCAGCAATAGACAAAGTGTATGTGCATCTACATGGGTGTTGTGTGTATGTGCATGTGTGGCAGGGATGATGGACAATAAACTCAGCTTCGTGTGCCAGGCTCCTTGTAAATAAGAAGCCATAGGGTGATGGATGGGCTTGGGAAGGCCTGGAGCAAATGGACGGGGTAGGCTCTGACATGCAGAGAGCTGGCTGGAGCCAGGAGAATGGCATTGTGCAGATAAATGAGATTTCACTTCCCTGCTGGGTGTCTTTCCATCTGTTTTTCTGTTTCTGGAGGCAAATGCTGGGAAGCTTCATATACAATCTGCCAAGAGACCTTCCCATTTCAAAGGGAATCTCCCCGAGCTTTCTAGGGTCCCCAAAAGCAGACAGGCAATCTTATATGCACTCTTTTCTTTTCCTCCCCAGGGCAAAAGTAATAACATTTTTATTCTCTCCAACATTTCTTGCACACTCACTTTGTAAAGAATGTTTTTTTCGCGGCTGGCCCAGACATCCTTGGGACGACAGAGCAGCAGAGTCCCCTGCTCACAGATCTCTAGTCCTTTTGGGTCCCTCTTTGGAGCTGCCCTCCGCCTTTCTTAGGTTTGCTGTATCCATCGTCACCTTTCCTCCGTACCTTGCCTTTCATATTTATCTGACTCCACAGTTTCCTTGTCCCTCATGACTGTGTGTGGTGTGAGAGCTTTCCCCTCTGCAGATATTTAGGCTAGGCTACTTGCATCCCACCACCACCCTTTGAAACATCTCCTTTCCTTTTGCTTGTGTTGTTTTCTCTCACTTTCTGCCATCACCAAACAGCACTCCACTGTAGAAAGGGCCAAATTCACTAATTGCAGTAGTGGCACAAGAGACAGGACATAGAGATTCAGGCTTGCAGGGCGTTGACTAGTAGCTGTAGTTGCCCCTCTGCCTCCACAAAGCATCTTCCTGGGGCAACTCGTATCCAGTGACCACTTGAAATGTGACTCATTCAACATTAGTTGAAGGGCTGGAACTGGGACTCTGTTCTTGTTGACCCATTGGGCCAGGCAATCCCTTCCCTCTGGTTCCAGCTCTGGCTGACAGACTGCGCTCTGCCCCCCTAACCACTGAGTCCAGAAGTGGCTTGTTCACACAGCGCAACCCAGGAAATACCCTCTCCTGCAGCCCAGA